TTCTTTCATTTTTCGGTCGATAGAAATTAAATTTTTTCCAGATTTTACGAAGGCACCCGTTAATTCTTTTTATTTTATATGATGGCAACTGGTGCATTAAGAATAAGCAGTGAATTACGAAGCTTTTTAAAGGACCATTATTAATTAATCAACAAAAATCGCTAAATTATAACTGTAGAAAAGTAGAATCTTTAGTTTAAGAACAGTGATATATTCCGTTAAGCCTAATGTTAATTCAAGAATCATTGTTGAGCGCTTTAGTAAGTGGGATTCCAAAGGAAGGAGGAGTGCAAAACATTATTCTTCCTTCGTTCACTATTCAAAGATCTTGATTTAAAATATTTTCTGTTCTCTGCTTTTAAGGAAACTCTTTATAAAGGACAATCTTAATTGAATATGTTACAAATATGATGAAATGAAATACATTTTAGCTTCCTCAATTCTTTATAGCAAAAGTTCTTCGCTTCTAAATGTACCATTACCTCGTGGCCAATGTCCTATGCAAAACCACAAATATCTCCCAGAGAACAATAGAAAATTATGAAAAAAAAAAAACTCTGCTATGGACACCCGTGTTTTATTTTAATGAGGTTGGACGGCTTTCTGTGGAGAAATTCGACGTATTTCACAGTCTGGGGAAATCCAGATGACGTAATTGGAAATAACGACCTAAAAACCAACGTTGAAGAAGTTCCCCAACGCGAGTGCCTTTTAAAAAAAATTTGCTTCCTCTGAGAAATAAATGAGGAAAAGTTTATCTTGGGCAGAAAATATGAGTCACTAGGTGGTAGGCTTCGGTGCTCATGCGTGACTGTCCAAGCAAGAGGTAATTAGCCATTTCTTAGACATGGATGACATTTATTTGAATTACATTTCCTGGCAGTGGTAAAACAGCCTTGAACTAGTGGAAAAGAGCTAGCTAGTTGGACATTTGCTTTGTTCTTTAACCATAAACATCGTTGATGGCATTGGTTTTGATGTACTGTCTATTAACATAGCCTTAATTAGAGTCATCATTATTTCGGAGTAATTAAAAACATATTTTAAATTATTGTGTCACATTTGAGCCAATTCAGAATCGACAAATAATGTACTTTGAAGTTAATAAAAGTCTTTACTCAATAAAAAGTATTGTTAGGTATATGCTAGAATTACTTGATAGTTAGTTGAAAGTAATACCTATACTAATTGAACAGCATTATTTTATGATGGTACATCCCTGGTTTGTTTAGCAGCTTTGGGTAAGGGGTACCTCAGCATGTCACAGGGATGCCGCCGCACCGAATAGTTAAGACTTTTTTTGGAACATCAAAAAGCATTTTTAGTGTCATCATGATTTTTTTATTTTTGGTTTACAGAAGAGAGTGCCGAAAAAAAGTTTAAACCCAGGCCGCCAGGTACAGTAAGGGCGGCCCTCAGTGTGCCAGCAGCAAAGTTTGAATTCCGTTAAAACTATTCGAAATGTGAAAGGTATGTGGAGGAGTCATGAGAGTTTCGAGGTCTCATGTCATCGAATCAGTTCGTTGCATTCTCGTGCCATCGCTTCAGATCATCAATAGTAAATCATGATAGAAATTACTTGAGGGCCACCTAGCATCATGTCAAATCTTCGTGAAACCTAAACGCTGGAAATAATTTGGAAGGCTTGGGGAGAGTTATTTGGCGACTACAAGCCCTCTAGAATCTTTGTGAGGAATATAATAATGACACTCAGAACTAAAATGTATAATATTAATTATATGGAAAGCTTTATGATAGCACCACGGTCACTGTATGCCATGGAATGAAATCTTAATAGCATAATTATGTTATTAATGATGAAAATCATTGAGAAGGATTCACGAGAGTCAATTGGTAACCACCTGCTGCAGAGAGTCCTGAAGTAACATTGTTTTAAATTATTTCTGAAAACTCCTATGTGCTAAATAATCCTAATTTGATTATAACTAACTAAAGTCCTCTTCAACTATTTACTTGTTGATACAAATATTTCTCTTTGGGGATATTATCCTGTCACTGTCATGAAATATCACTCCAGAAAATGGCGAAATGATTCATTTTTCTGGTAAGTTTGCTGATTTCTTAAATTTTGATCAGCATCCTTGCAGTGTACAAGAATTCTATCATTCGATTTTAAGACTCTGTCGTAAACATTTATTCCTTAATTTAACTCTTAAGGCCACAGCATTAATTTCGTTCTTATTTTAGCCAAACGTATAAACATTATACTTCTTTCCAATGACAGTGCAGTATATTAACTAGCAGCTGCTTGGAGAAGTGTTTTAAAATTATCAATGGTTCGTAGATCCCCCATATTTATATGAAAAATCATGGTCAGGAAACAAAAATGTTACGGTTAATTTAAGATTCTGCTATAAATTTTCTCGTAAATCCATTTTTATTTGGTATGTAGTATTCTTTGCATAGTGGTAACCATTTTATGTTCAAAACAGGGAAAACTTTCATCTTTGCTTCAATGAGCCGTTCTTGGACATCCGACTTTTTTGGACATCGTCTGCTGACCCCATCCATATTAATGGGAATAGTCTTCGAAAACTCTCCGAGCTGCAGACGTAGGAAATTAGGCATGACGAGACTGACGTAATCACTATATGGACTGACTTGGATTCAGCAGCTGCGTTATAAAAAATTCCTCCCACCACGTAATTTTTACCACGAAACTCGACGGAAGTGAATGACAATTTTTTGTTTTCTTTTGGATTTGAGAGCGCCTTCCCGATCACGCAGTTAGACATCAAATAGCGTTGTAATTTGATGTTTTACCATAGACTATGAAGATGTTTTTCAGTGCGACGGTTTATTTTATCAAATTGCTAGACTGGTCTCTTGCATTTATTTCATGCTACAGCAGTTTTCTATGCAGATAGAGCCATAGCCCCCCCAAAAAAAACTTTAGATTATTTATGCTCTCGGTTTAAATATTCATTAATATTTGTCATGGTGATCTTCATAAATCGAATTCAGACTTATAGCAAATAAAGTCATCAATAATATTTCGCATTGCTGTTTACTTTTAAAATCAAAATAAGCCTACTTTTTTTTTAAATTCATAAGGGGCATTAATTAAAAAATCTCCATATTTAACTGTGTTAAGCGAAATGTGGACCATAATCTGTAACTACATTAAATAAAATAATTTATAATTATAATCCTTAAAAAAAGTTCTTCGCACCGGGATTTGCTAAAATCTCCATATTTAACTGTGTTAAGCGAAATGTGGACCATAATCTGTAACTACATTAAATAAAATAATTTATAATTATAATCCTTAAAAAAAGTTCTTCGCACCGGGATTTGCTAAAATCTCCATATTTAACTGTGTTAAGCGAAATGTGGACCATAATCTGTAACTACATTAAATAAAATAATTTATAATTATAATCCTTAAAAAAAGTTCTTCGCACCGGGATTTGCTATACCTGCTAATCCTAATTTTTTTTATTATAATGTTATAAAATTAAGATATAAAATTGTGATTTAATAAGCAAATATAATTCTAATTATTTTGAGCACTTTATCTGAATTGGCATTTAGCATTAAAGAAAAACTGCGCACCGCTATACAGGTAGAAATTTTATTTGATTTACTAATCAGACAGCAAATTAAAACCTTACTTGCAAAACGATGCCCTGGCTTAAAAGTGCCACTTGCATTTATACAAATACACGGTATCCGTACAAAAAAGTGCCACTTGCATTGCAGTATCCATACAGAAAAGTGCCAGCACGTTTTTATAGGTAGCTTACTTCTTTTAAATTCTAAAATAATGTTAAGATTTATAATTTAAAATTAGAAACTTAATCCGCATAAATCTTAATCATAATTAGAGGGCTTCAGCATAAACGTGCCTTTATTTCGCGGCCTTATTGCTTTAGCGTAAAGGTGAAAGGTGCTGGTACTTTTATACCAAAGAACTTTCATGAAAGCTCGCTATTGCGAACAATAGCTGAGTTGTATGAAGGTGCCGGCAGCTTTATGATAGGACATCGTAATGAGGTAGTCCCTGATTGACTACTTCAAGTATATATAATGTTGTTCCATTATTTACTTACCACAATAATAGTTTCTAACCCATATAATTAGACACAAACTAGGCAAAAAAAAAAGTCTAATTTTACATTCTGCTTTTTATTGTCGTCTTTCTTTATCACCTGCCAGCGTATCACAGGAAACATAACTGGACAGCCGTGATCGCGTGCGAAATTGGAGAGCGTTAATTTCCTAAATGTATACTCACGCGTTTCCGGTGTTCCTTTTGGCCTTCTGAATTGAATGTCACGGCAAGCCAAGTGTTGCTTGTCTCCTGTCCCTTGCTTTACCTCACAGTCTGGTTATTGCAAAACTGTGCAGAGAAACAAACGTTTTTGGTTATCCGAATCCTGCAGCTGCTTTTGAAAGAACGTCCGCTGTATTGTGGGCGTCACTGTTCTATAATATCTATATGTGTATAGCTAGGAAATCTTCGATTTAACAGGTGTAATGCATGATTCATTTTTCATGAAAGTGAGATTGCATTGGAAAATTAAATCTGTATTATATATTTTTAAATTAAAATTTTTCATTTCTAATCACATTCTTGATTTCGACTAAAGGATTAATTAATCCTGCAAGCGGCCAAGCCGTATACAGACACTCAAAGACATTTGTAATGATATTGTTAAGTACAAAAATATGAATCTTGAAATATGACCAGACAGTTAAAGCACGTATATGTAGGAAAAGAGTGAAAGTACAAGTGAGAGGATCATTTTAGAATTATAAACAACAAAATACCGTGTACTCATGGCCTTTTGAAGAACTTTAGGGTATTAGGGCCAAACTCTTAAACGTTGTTCAAATCCGCGTTGATGAAGTGGTAAATGTAATTCCTTATGAAATACAAATACGTTTGTTTAATTTTTAAAGACGATTATTTACATAAACATGTTTTGCTTTTATAATATGATGTATAACTAACGTCATTGTTATTGGTATTTCAGATCCAGCAAACTGGAGTTTAGATGAGGCAAAATCATGGTTATTGTGGACCTTAAATCAGTACGGAATGTCTACGGACATATTACAGCATTTTGATATGGATGGACTTGGTTTAACGTCACTTTCAGAGGCATACTTCAGACAAAAAATTCCCAACGGTGGCGACATACTCTATGCGCAGTTGGAAATATGGAAGACGGGTAAGAAATTTGTGCATTTCTACCTAAAGAATAATAGACTGGCTTTGTTTTTCAGTAAAGGCAGTATGCTTTTCGTAAACCGATCCAGGACCGGCTTTAGGCTTGATAAGGCCCTAAGCTATTTGAGATATGGGACTCTTTATAGGTCCAAATATTATATGTCAATGCCAAGTATGATTTTCGGATACCTAGAGGTTTTTGAGGGTCTCCCAAGAAAGCGGGAGCCCTAAGCTATAGCTTGTGTACCTTATACGTAAATCCTGTACCGAACCGATCTTATATGTATGGTTTCCTCGCAATGAATGTCACAATTCAGAGCATGCGCAGAATATTGCGTTTTAAAGAACTTTACATATATAGTTTTATTTGAAACCAAACCCAGTCACACATTACATTTGCCTTTAAAGAGAAAGGAGGTAAAATTCCGCACAAAATAGGGGATTTAAAAATTTAGAATTTTTAGTTGAGAAGTAATAAGAATGTGTATAGTATAGTTTAATAATGAATACAGTATCAGCTTTATATTAAAAAAACAGAAAATCGTAGTCACATTCAGAAACTATACGAAGTACTGGAACAATAATTAAAAAAAAAAATAAGTAGATTAAGAAATTTACAAAGGAAAAAATTGAAAAAAAATTGTAATTTTAATGCCCATTACTCTACTTCTGTCAACATATATTAGCAGTTGTGTAAATCTATTCCATTTCAGTAACTACAAGATGTTTAAGTTTTTTTTTTTTTTTCCCTTCCTTTTCCTTCAAATTGTAAACAGGTGTGCAATTAAAGTATTTGAGAATTTTTTATTTATTTATTTATTATTATATATATTTTTCCCCCCAGTGAAACCCTCTAAAAAATACTCGGTGAAATATCGTTTGTAAAGGGGGAATTTTCTGGTATCCTAATGCTTTAAATCAAACATTCATCATGCCCTCTGACAGATTTAATATTTAGATTATTATCTGCGCTATGACTTTCTTCCCTTATTCGCCTAAATATCCAAATATGAGTCCTCTGTCTCCTTTCATGCCACAGACAATGTCGCTTTATAACTGTAACTGTAATTGGATCGGATCCTTTGTGAGTCGTTTTCGTTTTTATAATACACTTTTAAAGATCAAGGACCGTATCTGAGATGGCTACTTAATCTTCAATAAACTTGTGTATCTTGGCGCCATTTTTTTTCTCTCATTGCCTCTTTTCTGTCGTCTGCCTGTCTGCTTTGATTAATGCGAATCGTCTGAATTCGATAGACGTTGAAGCGAATTTATGTCGGCTTTTGTTCTTTATTTACCACTTTCTTCCCATAACGCTTACGTTGGGTGTCGAATATCAAACTAGAAGTACTCATATGTCTTCAAATAAATGCATGCATTGTATTAAAATGTTTTGTTTTCATTTTTTCCTCTTAAGATCTTCAAAATGATAGCTGCAAAAAAAGTGCGCAATGGGTTATCTTAATGTTTTCTTTGTACTCTGCTGTCTTGTTTGTTAGTGCAAAAGCATGGCTAATCTAAACATGGCGTTGTGAAATTTTAACTTTCCATAAAAAAATTAATTTTAAAGGATCAGCATGCAGTGTACTTTTTACATTAATCTAAGAAATATGTGAAAAACTGTGAAGACATCATAAAAGTAATGTAATCGTGTCACTTCGAAAAAATTGGAAGTGTATTGTAAGAAGAAAAAAAAAAAGTTTTGTATAAATAAAATTAATACTAAATAGTGAAAGAATTCCATTGGTTTCCCTTAATCAGGATATTATTTATTCATCTTCTGTATGATTTATGTGCTGAGAAGTATCTGGAATGTAATTTAAATCTTTTAAATATAAAATTTTTGTTATAATCTTTATAATCTCTGTGCATGCTCAAATTTCAAAACAAAAATTAGTGTCGAATAAAATTTGATGCACTAAATGATGTATGTTATTAGAACCTTGATAGCAATTAGATTTCGAAAAGTAGAATTTTCAATTACCTCTTAACAATTTGAAAAGGGAGGTGTTAATGAAGACTACGGTGTCTTGAGGGAAATGAGAGCATTTTTCGTGTGTCTTTTAACCAGATACAGAAACAGAATATTATTTCTGCAGTTTATTAGCTTTTTTCACTATCTGAACAACACCGCATGCGTTTCTTAAGTATACAATTATTTGTAGCAACATGCCAGAAACTGCTCAAAATAGTAATTATAGTTTAATTGTTAGTATAGTCCTAATAGTTTATTTGCATATTCCAGTGTCCTACTCTTGTTATCTTTTGCTCTTTCCTTGTCTGTATCTTTTCCATGAGTTTATACTGGTTTTTTGAGTCAGTACTTTAAAAGTATCTGGTTTGAAGAAACTGATAGTTTACATCGTTTCTCATCCTTCTTTATTTGCTTTGTTTGGATGACTTCGCTTATATGTTTAAATATTTAAGCATTAGAAATAATTTAAAGAAGACTGGTTGCTATTACCGTGAGCTGTCGTGATGTAAGTAGTTTTCATGTCCATCTAGCTACTGGTAGATCCTCATTTCGACTCCCGGCGAGTGTACAGCTGCTTTTGCATGGTTCCTACTACGGAAGCCCTAATGGACTCTATAGTAGCTGTAGAACTAAAATGTGGTGGACTATTTCTCATCAATACCTGGAATTCGTTTCGTGCCTTTCCCCAGTGAGGGAGAATATAAAAGAATTATTGCATTCTCCCTTGTGTGCTGTTGTGGTGTAAGTGGTAAGCAGATGAAGGCTATCGGAAATTCGGGAAATTTCCTGTGACGCCGATGATCATAGGTCCGCCTTGTCACCTGACATCGATTGTTTAACAGAAGATGAAATATTAGTCATAACTGTAGGATTTCATGCCCCCCTGAAAAAAAAAAAAAAAAAAAAAAAACTCACTCAGTGGAAGGAAACGATTTACTGACACTTTAAGAAGCAGATATCGTGTTAAATTTCCCGCTTTAATCCTCATCGTCGTTAGTTCCTCGAAAATTTATAACTATTGGATCGAATTCTTTACTCCAAAGCGTATAAAAAGGGAGCAGTTTTCATATCTCGCCATCCGGACGACTTCATAATGCAAGCATTTTATCCTCATGCAATTCGGCGACTATTCACTTAAAGATTCTCACATAGGCGTCCCGCTTCTTGATGAAATGGTATAAACAAAACTTCATAAGGATGCGGGTGTCTTGTGTCTTGGCGAACAATGGCCAGCTTGCAAAAAGGTGCTGGCACTTCTATGCAAGTTTTCCGCGTCGGTCAGACCTTCCCTGTCCAAACCTGGTGGTTAGTATATTCAAGCTAGCAGTCAAAAGATCCTTGTTCGAATCTGGCCTAAGGCACACTTGAGTTTTCATATTCCTTGCTAAAAAAATCCTAATAATCTCCGCAGGGTTATACTTTCAAAATCATTCCTAGTTAACGTGGTACCAGGATCAGTTTCTTCGGCCATGAACCAACGTTGAATTTTTAATTGCATTTCAGGCTATCACAATCAAAAATCATTAAATTTCTTCCCCAAAATGTGATAAATTCTTAATCTTCTTCGAGACGTACGACGTAGATAATTGGTAGCTCAGTGTCTAGAATTAAGACGATTTTCGGTTTCATTATATTCATCTTACTTTCTTATTGAGCTTATGAAAAAGAAATAAATCAGAAATTATCAATAATTCTCAAAGAAGTGGTTTTCATTTCATGCAAAGCTACAATCTGTTTGTAGTTCCTTACAATATTAGTAGCTAAAATATACGATTCAAATCAATTCAAAGTCTATTCGCAGAATTTTAACGTAGCAGAATAGATATACAGGACGTATTATGGATTCTGTGAGAGGAAGTTTGCTATTGTTGAATTACAGCTAGGAAGTATATGAAAGGTTTTAAACCAATAACTAAGATGATTGTCGCAATTTGAAACAATTCTGTTGCAGAATTCGAAAGGAGTAATTCCAATTTTGTGAGGACTGTTTGTTCTACAAATTGTAGCTATTTATGAATTTCATGGTTCAATGCTCTAATAATGATTATGAACGTGCCATGAGAAGTCTTTCAAAGGATATCTTTGAAATAATCTACAGTTATCGTGCATTGTATGAATTTTAAGTATGGTGAGATTACCAAGAAGATGTAGGCAATATCGTTCATAGAAATTGCTGAAAAAACGCAAGCGTCTCTTGAATTCCAGAAGAAATGATTTATGTTTTCTATCTGCTGCGGATCTAGTTGGTCGTTGTAGCAAATGAACAGTGAAATTAATGAAAAATATTATTTTAGATAATTACATATGAAGGCGTTCCAGAAAGCGATGCAAGAAAAATTCGTCCTTTTTATCAGTATTACAGTCACACTGACAACGTTATCATAAAACATTGGAAATGATAATTCTTGTATTAAATTTACGTGTAGCCTTCTGTGAAATATTCCAGACGCGCAGTAAAAAGCTTGACAATAATGCAAATCGTATGCATCTAGTGGTTTTTCATAAGCTTAGAATCAGATTTTATGAGCGTTCGTTTTTGTGTATAAATTGCATATAACAGAAATCAAAATTATTTTGAATATTTAAATTAATTAATAATGTCTAAACAAAAATTAATGTCATGTATTTTGTACATATAATATCATTCTTTAATTTGATGTAAACGGTTTAAATAATAAAAATATACATTTTCGTTTAAATCTCTAATTTATCTCTGTGCATTTCCAGTTGTTTATTAAAATTTTGTGGAACATATATCTCAGCAGTTCACAAACGTAAGAGTTTCAAGGATCTTTTTATATGATGCAGTAACGATTAATTTTCGATGTATAATCACTGACTTCCGCCCTCCAGTGGCCGAGCGGTAAAATCCGAGAACACTGGTAGTTCGGTTCGATTTTCGAATCCTGCGAACGGGCGGTCTGCTTGGGCGTTTTCGTGTTTGTCCCGTGTGTAACGTTTTACTACGAGCCAGTTTCCCTTAGAATGTACTCCATGAAGGCATGCTTCCCTTCCGTGCTGTGCCTTAGGGCGAAACACGTAAATAATAATAATAATTATTATTATTATTGACTTCTGAAATATTTTAACATAGCTTTGGGAATGAAATTACATAACAGAACGATTTTGAGTTTAAAATCATTATCGCGGATATTTAATTTCTACCTCCTGGGCTCCAAGGGGTCCCCGGATTCTAACCGCAAATGTGTCTTTCCTTGCTTTAAATCCATCCTGAAAATCATTTAAACCATTCTGTAGAAAAAGTCATTAAAGCGGTAGTTTTGCAAATGTTCTGGTCCAAAAATGAATAGTTATATGCTGTAAAATATTCTAAAACGTCAGTTAAATGTACAGTTCAAACAATGGTTCAAAAATCTCCATAACCGGTAATTGAGAAGTTGTAGTACTCCTCACGCGAAGAATAATATTTTTTTCTGGGAATGCCGCCACCTCAAAGTTCGAAAGAAAAAAAAAATGCGAGGAAAGGAAAAGATGGAATAACGAAAAAAAATCAAAATTTTTACTGGGAGGTGTCCGTTGATATACCACAAGGATGAAGTCATCGTTATAGCTACCCCTTGGCCAATGACCTTGCTCAAAACTCGTGACTGCCGCTTGTCGAGAACACGCCCACACTCGCACGAATGGTTGCCACCGGAATTGTTTTGAGAACTTTCTAATGACGGCCTTACGGCTCGTTTTCTGTCTCCTGAATGGTGAAATCGTAAAAATTTATGTTAGTGACCGTTTTGATAAGCGCTTTTGATTTAAAAGAAAAAAAAAAAAAAAAACATTCCCCGCTTTATTAAATATATGAGAATAAACAACACTGATATCTAATCAACAATAAATTGCCTTTGTGTACTAATAAACTATAATCGTTGGCAAAATTCGGGAAGTATTTTTTTTTTCTTTATATGTACTTTAAGAATACCTCAAGAATGATTTAAAAATTCGTTTATGAAAAGAATGCATGACGAAAATTAGGAAAATTTGAAAGCACTTCTGTCATCAGGCAAAAATCAATTTTTAATAAGTACTTAATTGAGAAACTATTGATCTAGATTTGTAAAATTAATTATTTAGCTTTCTTTTTCTGGGAGAGGAAGGGGATGGAATTTTAGGATCCACATTTTAAATTCGTAGAATGGAATTAGTTAGTTTAGTGATTTGTATTTAGGTGCGTTTCATTATTAGTTAACAGCAACGGTAATTGAATCGGAACAACGATAGGTCACAGTACATTCTGTTTTGATATTTGCGTACATTTTGTTCAGATGTTGTGCTTCTGTATCCATTATGAATCATCGTAAAGAATTTCTTGCAAAGACGCTTAGATTTTTTTAATTCTCAAAATTTTTGTTCCACAAGAATATTTAATAACATGAGATGCAATGTAAAGTATAATTTGAATTTAGAAAAGTAATTATGTTACGGATTTTATAGTGGTCAATACTTGTAACAAGTGCAAATCTTGATTGCATTAAGTGTACAAATGCATTAAGAATCTCAGAATTTTCAAATATGAGATGCGTGTATCAGTATTCCATATTTCAAAATAATGTTGTGAAATAAAATTATTAATTGCATTATGTGTATATAATTTCCCAGTTGCTATTGTAAATTTAGGTAATGATTTAAAACCCTCATCTTCTACTGTAATCATGTTCTACGGTAATTCTTTATTATAAAATATTGTGTAATGTATTCTTTTTTAAACTTTAACGTTAATTACAAAAAAAGCAAATGTGTATCATCATTTTAATTCATCTAAGCTTTACCGAAGTCATTCCATCGATAGTCATCCACTTATGTTTTTCATCCGTGAACCTTTAGACCATGACTGATATTTAAATGAAATACTTGTTTCTTGCAGCGGCAAGTCTCCAAAGGCAGAACAACCAACATCATCACCATCAACAACAACAGCAGCAGCAGCAACAACAACAGCAGCAGCAGCAACAACAACAACAGCAGCAAAATTTATTGACATTTCGGCCCGAAGACAGCATGCTGGACATGAGTGGCATCCTCGACCAATGGTCCTCCTACCACCCTCATCAGCGTATGTCACCCCCGGCTGGTTCCAGGGGTGGTGCTATGGTGGTAGCTCCAGACAGCAGTAGCTCAGTTGCTTCACCGGACGGCAGTCATGATTTCAGCAGTGAAGGAATGCAGAGTGATGGTAAGTTCGATTTTTGTGAATAACGCTATTTTTAAGTTGAAAAACCTTGGATCATGCTGTATTGAACTATTATCCTAGTGTCTTTTGCTTGGTTGATGGTAAAAGGAATAAAGAATGGTGCAAACGTTTCGCCTATGAAATTTGAGAAAATCGAAACTTTTTATTTCATTCTATACATTATAGTCGAGTACAGTTAGTTTATACAGCATTAAAAGCGTATATTGTAAGACTATTATTTAAATCCAGTTGCTAATTTCGAGCAGTTATCCTGGTAGCGTGCAGCATGCGTCCTGGTCTGCATAGTATTTAAAGTACGCTAACTATTACGCCAAACAGCTTAAATTGGTTAAGGCATGGATGATTGTAATGTCTCCATGCCTTGCAGATGCAGTACTGATACCTTGCATTATAATTTCAGAATTTCAAAAAATCTGTCCATCTACTCAAATTTGGATGTTATATCTTTAGCGGCTGTAATTTAAATTTGCCTGTGGTGCATATTAGGCAATATTCTTTGTGCCAAGATGGCGAAATGACATGGGTCCGCCAATCTTCTCCATAATGGATAATCAGTAAGTGAAGGATTATCGAAAAGTTTGCAGAATAACTTAACTAGAATGTTTAAAGTCTTAATTTAATCAGAAATATAATTCGAACTTTTAATACTATAGTTATTCCTTGATTAAAACTGCATATCGTAAAATATTTATCTCAGTAGCGTATTTTTCAACTCTTGCACCTGATAGCATTAGCATATGTAATTATTTATATTAAAATTCTGTTATCAAAATAGTTTTAAGAAATCGTGTGAGGATAAGCACATATATATATGAGATAAATGTTGGCAGCTGTCTTAATAACTGAGCCCATGCTGTGAGGCGTAGTTAAACAGACGCCATCTTAGTAAATTTTCCTTCGCTTTCCAATTCCGAAATTCCCCCTACTATAGGATACATCCCTGTCTACTTCCACTCAAGCGACTCCCTGGTATGTTGCAAAGAAGTAAAAAAAAAAAAACATTCCCCTTGCAATTATTGCACAAACAACCATTTGCCTGGCAGCATGTAATCAAATAAAGAAGCAGTGGAGAAAAGTAGAGTGAAAAATACAGCATCCACCAATAAAAATTCATGACTGGAAAGCGGCCAAACCAGTTGAGCGAAAGAATGTGGTCTTGCCTCGCGGGCGACTTTGCTGGGTCACTTACGGTCGCTCTTTCCGCGAAGAAAATAGAAATGGCAACCTGTCGTGCCTTCGAAGATAGAGTTTTCTGAGGAAAAGTGGTGTGGCATATAGCAGCAAGTTAATGTTCGCATTGCTGCAACTGATCAACAAAAAATTAAATTAAAATTATCATCAGGTTTTCAGGAGGGTTATACAACAGCAGTCAACCGCAGAATACACGCGTGTGGAAAGAGTGAACATCAGGTTGTTCCAAACTGTCAAAGTTTCCTTTTTTTAAAGTCTTGTAACATACCCGATTAATATCAAAACTTTCCCAACTACATTTCAAAAATCAAACCTGTTCTTCATGTTTTAGGAGTGGTACATCATCTCCAATATAATGATGCTGTTTCTCTAAAGGCTGGCTAATCAAGGCTTCAAAGGAGTAAAATAAAATAGTGCATTCTCCGATGCCTTGGGTACTTTAATAAAGTACATTGTAACTCGTCTTACATTCGTACAACATTAGTCATTTATGGCTTTTGTTTTCTGACCATCTTTCACTACAGCTATTGCATAGACCAAAAAAAAAAAAAAAAAAAAAAAAAAATTCTGCATTTTTAAGCTGCATCATTATACTGCGAATAATTATAGATGTCGAAAACTTACAGCCATTTCTCAACATACTAGGTAAAAGAATGATACAAATGTTTCATGCCATTAAATTTCATTATGTAGATAAAATATTCCCCACAAATGTTGTCATATAAAAATTTTGTTGTTGGTGTTACAGAGAAGAATTGTGCGAAGTTATGCGAGGACAAATGAAGTGTTTTGTGGTATTCCTTAAGTTACGTTTTGAAACCTTAAATCTTTCGCTGCTGTTCATTTTTTACACAGATCCTGGCTCATTTTTAGATGATCCTGTATATGTCATTAATTATGTTCCTTGTATTTAATCTTTGCAAATTTCATGAATAGCTATTTTTACTATGCAATTTTACTGGAAGTTTGTGATGGACATGTGTGATCATTTGCTAACTATACTTTCTGTTCTGTTTCTTGAAATGGCTTTTAATTTGTGTCCCCGTGTTTGGCGTCATGCAACTCCTGGTTTTTTTTGGGGGGGGGGATTAGACTTGTTTCGAAACGGCCAAATTTCATATTGCAGCAGTATGAATGCGCTGTTGAACTTCCCAAGTTTCAGTGAATTTCGAGTTGGTAAACATAAAATTGAATTTAAAAATTAACTTGTTGGTCAGTGAATTTTCCGAAGTTTCAGCTTTAACCCGTTTCAGCCGCCGAGTTAACTCGGCACTGAACAGGTTAAGTTAATTTGATGAAGTAATGCTTGCTCAAAATAAAGTTTCTAAAGCGGATCTTCATTAGTTATAAATTTAGTTTAGTATGCCATCTTTAACATAAAAACGTCTTCCCTCTTGCATTACTAGAGGTGGAGAGATACTGATCCACTAGGTAATCTGTGTATGAAACAACTGATCAGCATTTCCGAAAAACTAAGTTAATCATTATTTAGTTCAGCGTTGGGAAATGCCTTGTATGCATGTGTTCCATGTGTGTGTCTGTCAGTAGAATTTAGCTAATTTTTATAATAGTCGAAAATTTTACTAAGCACTCAAGATTATCTACCGAAATTTTGGGAGAATTACAGTCGACGTTAGTTATAACAACCACTCATCACAGCAATTGCTCTTTTTCAATGGCTTCCAAAAAATCTTTCAATTAATAAAAGTATATTAAACCCATTTCTGTTATAGCCACTCCCCTTCTTCTTTAGGCTGCAAAGGGTCATTATAACAACCCCTTATTACAGCCTAAGGAAATATTCTCATCTTAGAAAAAACCCTTTTACTGTAGGTCCATCCTTCTCCTTTTATAAAGCTCTTTATCTTTAAGCTACAGGAGGTCGTTATCATGCGTGTCTACAGTAATAGGAGATTTTAGATTAAGTTTTTTTTTTCATAAAAATCATTTAAAAAAATAAGTCAAATATAAGATAATAATTCAGCCATATATGAAGACAAATAATTGAACGGTATTTGAATTGCAGGTAGTAAGAAAGTAGTAGATTAAATAAAGGTATTAATATTTATGTGCAGTTAAAATGTAAAATACTTTCAGAACATTAGTCAGTCATATTAAAAATTTGATTTTATCTCTGCGTACATTAGGGAAATATGATACAGAGATTTTGATGTCTTGAGGCATGATTTTTTATATTGTATTGTCGTGCTGACAGGTTTTTTGGGAGGTACCTCTTTAATTCATTTAATTTCTAAAAAAAACTATACAAATATTGCAAGCAGTGTGGAGAAGTAACTTTCTCCCCACCTTTTTTTTTTTTTTTTTTAAGTAATGGCTCAGTTAAAAGTTAATCTCATGCAAAATTTGAAATCGAATTGCATTGCAACCGTAAATAATGTAGTTAGGGGAGAGAAAAAGTAAGTGAAAATTTTGCTGTCGCCTCCGTTGAAATTTAAAAAAAAAAAAAAAAAGAGAGAGAGAGAGAAAAAAGGAAGAAGAAAAAAAAAAAAAAGAATCCCGCGAATCTTCTGAAGTTTCAGAAACACTTGAGACGTAACATATTGCTGTTGTTTTTATAAACTGAGCAGGGTGCCGTACCCGTAAAAAAAGTGTATGTTTTCCAGCTGTGTTGAGGAATATGACACACTTTATAACTTCTTATGTCTGTCTTACAAGCTTGTCCATGTATCTTTCGATAGGAAACTGCAGTGACTCTTCCTCCTCTGTTAGTTTGGGCGAAATTTTGAAACCAATTAAACTTATACCCCTTGAGGCGATTGGCCTGAATTATGGTGTCTAATAAGTGCACGTATTTCGATCGAATTTTCATCTCATTTTTATAACTTGTTTCCTTTCCGGAATTTCACCTTTCCCCGGATGAAATCCTTTTTCATGAATACTTGTAGGTATAAGTAAAGTAATGAAGCTAATGAAATGAAGCATTGCAAAAGATAATCAATCCTGGTTGAAAGTGCACTTAGGTGGATTTAGATTCACCTCGCATTGTTTTGACAAAGTTGATTTAAAATTCAATTTTTAAAATATGCGTGCTGACAGATACAGTTCTTCCCCTCGATACTGAAGAAAGTAACATTTAAGTTCCTGAACTAATAAAAATTTCCGTACAAAAGTGAATATTTATTAAAAAAAGGATACTTTCGGGAATAGTGAAAATTTTACTCTCTATTCTGTATTTTTCTTTTTTACTGATTTAATAAAACGCATGCATTTATATTCTTTATTCAGGAAAAAGTTATTTTAGGTTAACTTTTTCAGAGTTTATTATAGTAAACTAGTTCGGCGTTTCCAAAAGTTTTTTTTTTTTTTTTATATATATATATATATATATATATATATATATATCTCGAAGCTAATGAAATCACTGTTCTGAGAGTGCATAATGCATAACAGGTGCGCTGTTGCTTTTGAAAAAAAAGCATTTAAAAGTTATGTGCAATTAAAAAAAAAAAGTTTTTCCCTCCTTTGTAATTCTTTACTGAATTTATATTTCTGTCTGAAAAAAATCCCTTTACCTTTTAAAAGGGGAAAGCTTCTGTTCGAAATCGCTTTAAGAGAAATTCAACAGATATACAGTTTTTACTTTCACATTATGAAATTAGCATGTACTGGTACTTGGGTGATTTAGTTTTAAAATATTGCAAACAGTGAAAAATCTTACTATTATTTTTATTTTACTCAAAAATTTATTACAGAGTTGTACTATTATTTTGTGAAATTTTCGCATTTTATTTAAGAATTGACAGGAATTAATTGCCGATAAATGAATATGTGGCTGAAACCGAAGCAAATAATTTTAAATAGATTGCGAGTTTTTTTTTTTTTTTTTTAAATACATGCCGAATAAAATTTTTACTGTTTTATAGCGAAATTTGTAGTGAACTATAAATTTTTGTAATCCTATTATATAGGATTACAAAAATTGGAAAGTTGTGTTATTATTGTAGGCATATTAAAACCTCCCCGTTCCGAATTGTTGCTTTTCTCCTGTAATGTTTTAATTACTTCTTTAATTTATTCGTATATGAAACAGCAATTTAACAATTTAAAAGGATATTAACGAAAGAAAATAATAATTCAGCGTTTTTCTCCCTTTTTAAACAAATGATGCAAATAATTGCCCTCTTGTGGTAGAAGAAAATGAAAGACATAAAAGAAAACTTTTAGTGTTTATTTATTCTATTTGTAAAATGTCTTAAAATGATCACGGATATTTTTTCCTCCCTTTTTTATATATTTTGTTTTCTGATTTCATTTTAGTGCATTTTTAAAACCGGTCATTTAGTCGAGAAAATATAAAGAATTGTTTATGCCATTACATGCAAATTTGCTGTAAAATAGTTACGAATGTAGAAATTTAATATGTATATAAACTTCTAATACAGTAATCAAGTAATCATAGATTAGCGGAACAAAAATTGATATCATTTCATGTATTGCATCAACATACATACTGAGTTGGTAAAAAAGCTTCGTTAAATTCTCGGGTAAAAAACTTCGATACGAGGGGCAAGTTTTCAACTTCTGTTTAGAAATCCCATTTTCTCTCCTTTTTATGTTAGGGGTTTCTTTCCTTCCCTCAGTCGTCAATTTTTTCTCAGGATTTAACGGGCATCTTATGACGTCCATATTACGTCAGAAGAAACTGTTCGTGATCCTCTTAACATTTCTTTGCGCTCCCTGCACAATATTTTACTTTTTATTTTCCCGGGGAGGGATGGTTGAAAAAAATATTCTCCGCATTTCTTTCTTGCGGTTTTTACTTTCATGTTACTATCTCTCTCCTCTGGTTCTTTGTGAAACTATTTGCAAGGTAGATTTGAAAAGTTGTTGAGCGTTGACCTAGTATTGAATGCATTGTCCTGTGGGAAAGATCACCTGATATGGGGGTAAAGCACTAGTTTTTAAATGCCGAGGGAAAAAATTAATTTTATTTATTTATTTATATTTACTGTAACAAATCGAAATAATTTAGTAGTTTTCTCATCGATTAAGCTTTAGATTTTGAAACCGCGTTTTGTATTTATTTATTTTTCTTTCCGTAACTTCTTAAATTAGAAAGGGCAGAACTTAAGTTCTAAAAAATTAAAAATGCCGAAGAATTAGAAGAGGTATTCGAAAGTGGCGAAGGGAAATAAATCAACAACTAAATAATACGAATTACAGAAAGTAATAAATAAATTATTAATAATAATAATTATTAATTCAGTAATATTATTTAATCATGCAAAGTAATAATTCAACTCTTAACTTTATAATTAAAATTAAGTTAAATGTGAAATAAAATATTTTTTTTACAAATTATGCTAATGCATCCTAAGAATGAACTGAAATAAAAAAAACAAATGAAGCGTGATTAAATTAATGGTAATGAGACATGGTTCTCTGATGGCAAAAGAAAAGGTTTGAATAACATTCTTCGCCGTCCGATTAAATTGCTTCCTTTTTTCTTACTTCAAATTCATTTTGTAGAAACCATTAGGCATTTTATTTCAGAGCAACAAATCTGGAAAATATGCCGGGATTCGAACTCCGAACTTCCCAAATGCTAGCTGGACGTGCTTCCAATTACACTACGAAGAGATTTTTTAAGGGAAAATTACCGGAAAAAATACGTAAAAAAAATACGTGGATGAAAAATATACCTTCAGTGTGGAAATAATACTCTGATTATGTTACCTATTTAATTTCTACCACCTTTTGCAATGTGAGCTTCCATTTTATCTTCTTAAGCAAAGACTCGAATAATTACATAAGCCGATTTCTGGTCTATCATAACAAACTTAATCAATAAGAATAATTAAAGAGGCTTTTGTGCCTCTTTAATTAATGATGAAAATTCATTTTAAAACGCAACTCGGCTTCAATTTTGCACACATGGTTTGCTTACCAACATCCTTGAACAGCCAAGCCTTTTTCCCTTGTCATTGATTGGCGTACGCCTCAATGCCCGTGACCCTTGCCGACCCCGCATTTTGACGTCAAGTGCATATGATGTCAGATCTAAATTTGCATCCCCCTTCGTTCCCATGCCGCTGGAAGGAGGAGGGAGAGGGAAGAAGTACCAGTGCTTTTCTCCACTTACCACATCTTGAAACCACTTGCTTTGCCAGCAGTGGAACTGAAACCATTATTCTTCTTTTTTGCAAATATCAAGCCATCCTTTGCCCCCTCCTCGCAGTTTTTCTTTATGCTCGACTGGTAATAGCGCCTACTGAGAGTGTGTGTGTTCAGAGTTGAGTTGTTCTGCCGCTGCTTCAGCTTGAGCCAATTTTGGCAGTTGTTTACGTTTTTATCGTACAAACAAATCGCCCTGTACTACTTGCCTTCTTAACGCGTCCCCCCCCCCATGAAATGAACATTGTTGTCCCAGAAGCTTAGTGTGGGGCTTATATAACTTGCCTTGAGCTGTTGATGGCTACTTCAACATAATAAAATGCGAACATAGAATAATGTACTTTCGCGCGTCTTTCTAGCATGAAAGCCTTTATGATAGTCTGTTTTAACGACTAAACTTTAAGCTATTCATTTAAAGCAATCGATTGTTCCTCTTTAGACTTTACCTTACCGCCTAAATTTCATACCAAGTTTCATATCCATTTCCTTTCCAGTTAAATTTCATATCCAGAACTAACTTTATTTATTTTGGTATAAATGGAATTAACCTCAAAATCAGATTTCCTGAACACTCTCAGCAATTGCTAGAAATTTCACTCTCATATCTTATTAGCTAGAAATATGCTGCAGATGTGTAAAATAATTTCACTGTTATGAATGATGGAATTGAATTTAGCTCATTCTTTGTACATTACAGTTCACTTCAGCTAGCATTAAATACCACAGAACATGACTTGGAATATATGTTTGTGTTTTTTCACTGAACAAGTGTAACATTACATACTTTTTTAAACTAGAGCAGTACCCGTATTTCATGTATTTGTAATTGGTACATTTATGTAACGGAAATTCGTGAATTCGAACAGAATTTTACATGTCGAAGAACCATCTGACTGTCTACTAGTTTTCTAACAATCTTCGATCTCTTAAAGTTCGAGTCCAAGCATCAAGTAGTCTAAATTTAATGTTAATTTATTCAGATATAATATATGTTGTTTACTTCTTCGTGTGTAGCTTTCATTCCTACCCCTTTTTTCGGGTAATGTATCCATTCTATAGAGATCAGTTGTAAACAAAATTTATTCACCATTTCTAATAAAATTAAATTAAAATGTTGCTCATATTTTATTTCCCCGTTAGTTCTTTCATTGCACTTACTTACGTACTTGTTTCTGTTGCAGATGAGATCAGCGATGAATCTTGTGACGTTGAGCGTTGCGGTGGGAGCCGTTCCAGCCCTTCTGGAGGGGGCCGCCCAGGATCTCACTCCCACATTCACCTCTGGCAATTCCTCAAGGAACTTCTCTGCCAGCCCCATCTATACGGCAGTTGCATTCGATGGTTGGATAGGCCGAAAGGTATTTTCAAGATTGAGGATTCTGTGCGTGTTGCTCGTCTCTGGGGTAAAAGGAAGAACAGGCCAGCTATGAACTATGATAAACTGAGTCGATCCATTCGCCAGTATTACAAGAAAGGAATCATGAAGAAGACGGAAAGGTCCCAGAGACTGGTCTATCAGTTCTGCCATCCTTATGGCCTCTAAAGATGTCGCGACCGAGCCGAAGTCTTGTTGTAGCTGGACTATGACAATGACTTGGTTGTCCGCATCATGTATTATAGTTTTAATTTTCTGTAAATGTTTGTCATCGATTATTATTATTATTTGTATTCTTTAAATATATGTATAATGAATTCGATCCTTCCCGGACATAAAGGGCTGGTCCCTCAACGTTCGGGGCTTGATCGCTTCGCGAGGTATTGGGTTTGGGAAGGTATGATTCCCTATCACCCTTGGCCACAACCTCGTGAAGATCACACTTCGGATGAGTCGATTAATTTTCGTTGTATAATTACTTTTCATTGTTCTCACTCAATGTGGCTGAATTTATTGGGCTTCGCACTCAGCACAGTCCGGTGTCTGGTCGAGTCTGGTCTGTTCTCGGACTCCCGGACGGACTTTGCGATGTCCTGATGAACGTTGGTCCTATATATCAGTGATATATCACTTGTATGTTCTAAGAACACAACACCTGGAGGTGGTATTTAGCCTCCACATTTTTTTACGTATTTTTTTTCGTCTTTTTTTAAATGTTCATTCTTTTCTTGTGTGTTTATAGGCTTCGTCGGTCGTACCGCTCTTCATCTTTACCGCCTGGAGCGGTTCTGGTGCTTAAGAGGGGTGTACCGCGAGCCTCCTGGTATCCTTATGGCCCATGTATGTTCAGTCATATGCGGTGCCATTTTATTACATAGTAGTAATTCCTATTTTGGGTATCGGGAGCGCCTATATTACTTGCACACAATTAGTTGGCATAATAATTACATCTGAAATAATATCTGTACAAAATGCTTAGTGAATCAAAACGTAAAGCCTGCTAATTTGAGTTTTTTAAGCATATCCTCTGTACACCAGTATTGTAAATCATTTTGTTATTAAAAAAAAATTTAAAGTATTATTTGAATTGAAAAATGGTGTATCATTATTTAATTATTAATGTGTTAAACATCTCCAAATACATTTCACTTGCATTGAGTGCAAAGTTGAATTATGTGAAAAGTATTCAATTGTCTTATTATTCAAATGTTTAGCACTAGAAAAATGGTCGAAGGTTCTGGCAACCATAACACCAACCGTTTTTTAATCAAATATATTTTACCATTTTTGGTAAGTAAACAATGTATAATATGTGAAAAATGTCCTGAACTGTCTTATGAAGTCGATTGTAATGATTACATATTATTTTGCAACAGAGGATTGATTTCAAACCGCAGATGATATTTTTACATTGCCTCGTTTTATTGCATTACTTATAACAAGATATATTAAGGTATTTTATGTTGTTTTTAAAATAATATATTCATTGTAAAAAGCGAAATATATGAAATAACTTTAATCACACAGCAGTCGCACTAAAAATTAAATCAGAATTACTCAGTAAAATGTCTTAATGTATTCCAGACTAAACAATGGAAATATAAAGTACAGGTTACTAATTTTAACTTTTTTATTTTCATTTAAAAATAGTTTTATATTTAAAATATTTTATTGAATAATCGACGAAATTGAATAATTACTTCAAATTCTTTTAACAAATTAAAATTTCTTTTAAAAGTTAAGATTTCAGCATGGAATTTAATTAAATGTAGTGCACAGTGCATTAAAATATGCATATTAATAAACGTAACGTATATAAATCTTAAGATTTGATTTAAATAATGTTACAAAATGTTAACATGAATTCATTCATATGCTATGTGCATGTTTCATTATTGAAACAGAGCAAAATGATATGTAATTCAGTTATGTACTTTCTTGTCATCAAACTGTGAAGAAACTCTGTTAATGTGAATAAACAATAAATATATATTAAAGTAGAACTGATCTCAAAATGCCAGCGGTTCTGTTGGTAATATGGTTGCTCAATTCTGTTATTATCCTTGCTTTGTTTTTTTTCTTTGGAGCTTTGTATTTCTAATTAACCACTGGCTGATGGTCTAATTGTATTCTATATTCTGGATGAAATACTGGGTTGAAAAAAAGTAACTTTTATTGCTTTTGTTCAGTGTTGATAGTTTCTGTATGAGTACAAAGTGATTTCAATAAAGATTTTCAAAGTAGACAATTTTCTTGTTTTTATGAGTATCACAACACTGATTTCTTTTTTTTTAGGAAATACTGAGAAGCATTTATTATATTTACCAACATTAAATAACATTAAAAGAGCAGTGAGTGTATTTAGTAAACAGTCTACACAAAGGCACTTAATGCAGTATATAATTTAGATAAATCTCCAAACGTCAGTAATCAGATAAATCTCCAACATGCTCTTCCTGCTTGATGTGTTGTTCTTCCGTGATGTGTTTCAGCATGTCCTGTGGAATAGCATGTACTTACCAACTGACGGCTGGCTTCAGTTTTCAGTCGTCCACTAACGGTTTGAAAAGACTTTCTCAGATAATCCCATAGGAAGTAGTCCGGAATTGTCAAATCTGGGTAGCAGGATAGTCAGAGGAAGAAATCTGCGGATTTGAGAAGTTCGTTGCTGGACAGCGATACTTGTGCTTGCAGTTGCTCGACCCTTCTGGAATCAAATTGTATCCACCATCTGTTTTCAATTCTGGGAATCTTAAATTTTTTCGTAGCAGCACCCCGATAATTGTCTGACAGTGATCTCAAGGTCAGAGTCTACTATCTGAAAGCAATTGGTGGGCTTGAATTTATTTTTAAACTAAATTTAATTTAATTTACTAAGTAATTATTAAAAATACATAAAAGAGTAATAATAGTTATTCAAGAAAAGAATTGAAATTTATATTTATTTTTTCTCTCTCAAATCTACAGGTAGTTAATCTGGTTTTGTAATTCGAATTTACTGATAAGAAGATATTAAATTTTAGACTTATTTATTTCAAATAATTAGAATGTGTTTGAATTAAACAATAAATAACTTACATTTGTAACTTTAAATAGAGATTGTGAAAACTTCCTAAATGGGACAGACATGAGAATAATTAATGGAAACGTGTTTTTTTTTTCCTTCTATTTATCAAATTTCTGTTCGAAGTAGAAAAAATGCATATAGAAAACGTATATATATTTCTGTGTAAATATTTATGAATGTCATTATACGTTACTGCAACTTTCAGCTATGATATCTCAAATGTTAATTTTCAACTGCGGAGAAAAACTGTTCATTTATAAATATGCGTAAATAGCAGCTAAGCAATTAATTAAAGCGATTATTCTTATTGTGAAGGTATGAATCTTTTGAAGAGTACGAATAAAAGTTAATCAAATCTGTATTCTCAAATCTTAACATGAAATATATATCACAGCGTAAATGAACTCCATCCGTAGATTTTCACGGAAGTAACTTATATTCGTTTCCCCCCCCCAATGTAAATGATCTCAAATTGAATTCTATAATAATTAATTTGCGGAAAATGTATTCGCGGACCGTATAAAACTGCGGCCCGTGAGCCGCCAGTTTGAGACCATTGGTCTGTTACACAGCCTCTGTAATAGTGGAATAGTTAAGACCGCTGAATACTGAAAATTTGAACCGGCTTGCCGCATGTTTAATTTTCGTGCTTTTTCCTGTGTCTGACTTGAATATGAGGTATGTATCATTTGCCTTGTATACAGACACAACTTGTTTGACTGAAGGTTCCTACTACCGCAATACTCAGCTATAACTTTCAACGGTCCGTGGTATACAAATTGTCAGACTCGTAGCTTTCCACGGATTTCGGCTCGCCATACCCTCGCACATGCATTCTGACAACTCAAAGAATTAGGTACAATATGTACCCCTTGTATAGGCTTAAAAAGTTTTCTCGTTAAAATTTTAATATGTATTTTATTTTTATTTTAACTAGCTTACAAATTTCTTTTTCCAATACGGTTTTAAATACAAAATATATTTTATTAACACAGTTGATATATTAACGAAAGAAGATATTGCGTTAAAATTAATTTCCTAACGTGTAAGTGTGTCAAATCTTCAATTAAGTGAATGTTAATTTCCAAATGGTAGGTGACAGGCCGCGTGAATGTTAAAATATCGTAGTACCGTAATGTAACTTGATGACCGTAAAACTGGAAAGACTCAGACATCTGTAATGTCAAAAACCTTATAATTGTATAAAACTTTAGAATATACACTGAAAAGCCAAAGCATTATGACCACCTAATCAATTACGCGTTGCGCGACCTTTGACTTGCAGAACAGCTGCAACTCTCCTTGGCATGGAGAGCCGCAAGTTCTTGGTCAAAGACTGGGAATAGGTTGTACCAAATATCTAAGCAGCGGTCACGTCGAGATATTCTGACATGGTGGTGTTTGAGCTCAGACCTGCCGCTCCATGACATTCTAAATGTGCTCTGTCGGATTAAGATCCGGCGAGTTAGGTGGCCAGGACATTAATTTGAATCCATCCCTATGCTGCTCGAACCACTCCAACTCATTTCGAGCCTTGTGACATGGGGCGTTGTCCTACTGGAAGATTCCATTTCCAGTTAAGAAGACAGACGCCATGTAAGGGTACAAATGATCCGTAATTATGTTTAGATCAGTGTTTCCCAACCTTTTTTGTGCTATGGCCCTCCTAATCCTTCTCTAAACTTTTTAAGCTCCCCCTAGCATATGCATAATTTTTAATATTTAAAAATTGAAATATTCACGAAAGAAACTTGAATGCTAGCTTTTAGGAAGAAATGACTACGGAATTTTGTGAGCAAACACAGTAAGTGAACTTTCAAAACATGGAGAACAGAAATTCAAGAAAAAACTCATTTTAATGAAAGTTTTTTATTTTAATTAGTATTAGTAATTTTTATTATTTAAATTTAGCGAGTTCCTTGCTCTTGATACTTGCTGCAAAGAAATTTTATGTCAGGTTCCAGTTTAGATAACTTGAGTCTCAAGTCTCCCGGTTTCATTATATCCAAACGATTTTTTTTTTTTTTTTTTTTTTTTTTTTTTTTTCCAGCAGCAAATTATTTATGGCACTAAATCCGCATTCAGAAAAGTATGAAGATGGAAACGGTAACAATAGTTCTCTTGAAAATTTTCTTGCATTTGGATATCTGATTCTTGTTTCCTCACAGAGCTATGTCATCGCTCCTTTTATATTAAATAACGTTTTAATTGACTCATCATTTTGGATTTCTGCGAGGTCTTTTTACTGCATATTTGAAATATCAGCCAAATTCCACTAGCTTTGGCTGCATCATCCAAGTTGGAAAATCAATTTGTTTTAAGTTACAAAATCTTTTAAATCAGCCGATAAACCAGATAATCGACAATAACAAGTATAGCGGTATCACGTAACATTTTTAGAGCCAAAATGTTGTTCAAAATTTTTGTGGTAAATAGTATATGCCTGACATAATTCATCAAAGATAATGAAACGAAATATCTTCCCTTTGCATCATACGTTTTATTTGCTCTTTGAAGTTATTTATTTAATATATTTAATTTTTGAAAGATATCGGCTAAATAACTCACAATTGCCTTGTTATCATCCGTTAACGGATTTTTCATTTCAGGTTTGTCGCTTAAAAATAACTAAGAGTATCAAATAGTTCCATAAATCTTTCCAAGCAATTCCCTTTCGACAGCCTTCTTACTTCAGTGTGAAGTACAAATCTCATATAATCTTCATTTTGTTCTTCATAAAATAACTTGAAAAGACGTTCACATTTGGCCCTAGCTTTAATAGCATTGATACACTTTATAACTTCAGTACTTCATTCAGAACAGGCGAATTATTTTTAGCTACCAGGTTTTCTCTGTGAATAACACAATGCACAAGAAGCATTTCTGGATTCTCATCTTTTATTTATACGTTCGCGCTTCGCTAAGGAATTTTTATCACAAGGCCCATTGTGGACAAAATTGATAGAACACGAAAGTACTGTCTAATGCAGTAGAATGCCTATATAAAACACATAAGTATCCAAATATATCTCATCTTTTATCAGTTTTAAGCAACCCTTTTTCTTATTCCGTGCTTTATTTTATTTTTCAACCATCATATTAGGAGCAATATCTGCAGTATAAGATGTATTATATTTTTTATTGGTATAATTTTTATATCTAAGTAATTTTAGCTTACTGTAAATATCTTTCGAGGTAGTGGTGCTTTCTAATGATTTACAGAACATTTCTTCGGCAAAAATCCCCTTTATGAATATATCTAACATAAGTTACAAACACGGCTTCACTGTTTCTCAAAGTTGGTTCATCCATTTGCACCGAAAATTTTCTTGTTTTCAGCTTTTCAACAAGTTGTATTTCAATATCCTCACGCATTTAATCTTTCTTCTGCAAACAGTATTGTTATTTAGTGTCATAGCTTTTAACGTCTTTGTCATGTTTTTCTAGAACAGTTTTAAATGCTGATATTGATGGGTTTGATTAAATTCTTCCCTATAGTACGGCTTTTCCCATAATAAGCGATGAGTAATGAAATTTGATAAATAGCCTCAAGAGCACGATTAACAGTTGCATTATGAGCAGTAAATAGACATTTTAATATTACTCTATTTTCAAAAATTTTCTTTAAAGTGTGAAAATAATTCGAATTTGAATTAATATCAGCATTATGTTTGACCGTTTATGGACCGGGTATGAAACCAAATTTTAAATATGCTTCCGAATACCGACGAACGTTTTTTCTTGCTTGCACCCCTCATTTCAGTAAGGGCTGAGAGAAATAAATATAAGATCAATATAAACAAAGCTGAAAGCAGCTGCTGTTACCATTCAAGGAAAGAATAATATACCGGTTTCCATTCCTACAATAAAAAATAAAATACATTCGTTCGCTGAAATGTGCGAGAAACGTCTGGAAAGCATAATGTCAGTTATTTAAATGCCTTTAAAAGCATTTAAATGTCCATGTCTACAGCGAGAATTCTTTATAAAATATTTAAAATGCACCGCAATTTAAAAACTTTTTTACGTATACATCACTTACATTTTCTTTTTTTTTGCGGAATAAAAAATGAAATTTCGAAAAATTTTGACTTCATGAAGCATATTTAGAACGTCCTTTGTCCCCTTAAATTCTGAACGAGTCCATTTTCGAATTGCCCCCCTTAACAGTCGCATTGCCC